ACCCCCTCTAACCTCCCCCCCCCCAAAAAAGAGATCCCAAACTCCAAACACCAAACCTCAATACAATAAGAAACACCCCTCCAACACCATCCCATCCACAACAATAAACCCCTCAAACCCCTACACCTCAAAACCCATCCTCATACCCTTACCCAATTCCCCCAAAAAACCAACACAAGATATCCGACCAAAAATACACGTACCAACTTACACTATTCCCCTATACCTCTATCCTTCCATCCCTCTATTCCCCTATCCCTCTACTCCTCTACCTACCTAGATAAACCACCAAGTAGACCCACTGTGGTAAAACCTACTTTTATCAAGTAGAGTAGATACGAGTGTATTTTACTCCCTTACCCACTCACCCTCCCTCTCACCCCCCAACCAACCAAACCAACCAACCAGTCACCAGAAAAAAGAATCACCACCGACTATATCATACACATACATCCCATCCCATCTTCCAAAAATACCCAATACACTTTATCATCAGAAGAAGAAGCAAAAAAAAAGGAGAAGAAACCCACACACCCCCCCCCCCANCCCCCACACACAGGCAACAATTTTCTCATCTCATCTCAAGAATCTTATCTTACATATCTACAACTACAACTACAACTACAAACGCAACCAACCCAACCCAAACCACAATACCACCCCCCTTCCTCCCCAAAAAGCCCCTTTTCCCCATCTAGTTTGTGTAATCTTACTGCCATCATCCCAACCTCAAATCAGGTCAAGAGAGACAAAAAGGAAAAAAGGGAAGAGAACAGGAAGATGAAACCCCCTCGAGAATCCAAAAGAAAGAAGAAAAAAACCACACCTCACAAGATACCAGCAAGAACCAAAAAGATAAGAAGTGTGAGAGAGAAACACTCATAGTTTCAGTTAATGCCACAATGTATCAAGTAAGGCCCATCATCATATTTTCACATCCCATCAATCAATCAATCAATCCATCGGCCTCTCCTACTCCCACTCCCCTTTCCTTCCAAAACAAAATAAACATTTAACCCCACATCCATCCCATCCAGTTCCCACCCCTTCCCATAATTCCCCCACCCCCAATTCCCAGTAAACAACACAGAAACAACAAAATGCCCCATTCCATTTTGAAGTGAAAAGAAAAAGAAAACCCTCTCATCTAAGCATCGTCATCTTTAGACCATGTCAAAAAAGGGAACAAAAAAAGGTAGGAGTAAAGGAGTACAAAAAGAATTAATCTTTTCCTCCCCCTTCCCAAGAAAATCCAGACATGATTAATTAACTCGGTGGTGTTTCCACACTCATACAATCTGAGTCTATCATCATCGTTCCAAATCATCGGCTTCGTGAATGCGTAAAAGGGCGATTTGCAGTGTCGCCATGGCGGAATTATGTAGTAGTAAGAATAGAAAGCGAACTATGGGGATTTTTTTCGTTGTTCATCGTTCGTAGGTGGAGGGTCTTCTTGCCCGGCACCCAGTCAAACTTTGCCAAACGCCGTAACACCGATCGAAAAATTCAAAGCGGCGATCATCCAAGACTCGTCAATCCATATCCAGGAGTGAACGAGTTACGGCGACCGATCATATGTTGAGTTTCCTAAAGACACACTCAAACATCCATCATCTCCGCATCATCTGCTAACACCTCATCGGCAGGCCCAAAGTTGCCCTCGAAAACGCTTGCTCCTGCACGGCGACGAGACGCGACCCATTGAACTCCAGGAAATTGTAGCACTTGTTGAGCGGTGGGTCGGTCTTGTGGGTTTGGCCTGATCATCAACTCAACGGTCTTTTCCAAAGATTCGCAGTGAGTTGCGTCAGTCATGAAGACAGGACCTTGGTGAAGTTCTCCCCTTCTGCCAAACCCGAAAAGATTTCCGGCATCGTGGGAAAGGGATCTATTTGAAGTGGCAAAACTTCTCTTGCGGGAGCCCATTGTGGGGGATCCGAAATCAGTCGCAATTCCGTCGTCGCTAGGACACGAGCCCATTGGGGTGTCGCCTCTTTGGAAGGGTATTCCTGTAGCATCGCGTAAAGCGCCACCGCTGCTGCTTGAGCTGTGCGTAAGGTCGCTACTAATATGGCCCGATCGTAGCTCTTGCCAAAAAGGACCGTTTTCAGGCAATTCGCAATTGCCAGCAATCTCAATCATCATAATGCCCAAAGCAAAAACATCGGCGGGCTTATCAAGGTTTCCGGAAAGAGTTTCCGGTGCAATATACAACCGGTCACCCTCGCCTTCAATTCCAGGTTGAGCGGGCCAGGAGGTAGCCATTCCAAAATCTGCAATCTTCAGAGCACCTTCAAAAGTAATCAAGATGTTGGCAGGCTTGATGTCCAAGTGGATGAATCCCGACTCATGTATGTGGCAAAGGCCCTGGTTATATTAGCAAATTAGTCTTTTATCTTGAGAAAGGTGTACTCACGGATGCGACTTCAAGGAGAAGTTTCCAGATGCGAAAGTCGTCCAATCTACCTTTATCGCCGATGGTGTTGATGAAGCCTTCTAAGCTTCCCTCTTCACAATACTCGGTCTGGATGTACAAATGATTGTTATCCTCCCAACTGTCAATATAATTTAAGACGTGATCGGAATGTCCCAATCCCTTAAGCACCTCCACCTCTTGTAGCTTCCTCTGGCGATCACTGTTGCCTTTGTATGGGTGTCGTGATTTCTTCACGGCAAACACTCGCTCTGGCGATGGGGTTGCTGGTGAGCGACCGTGAGACGGTGATCGAGAACCAAAGAAAAATGGCTGCGAATTACCCAGGGCCGGGGTAGTTTGGGTGACCTTGTAAACTGTTGAGAACTCTCCTTCGCCAGCCTTCACGACCTTTTCAAACCTAGATGCTAGAGATTCGTCGACTCCAATGGAGGGGAAGTGGCTGACTGGGGTCATGCTAAGTCTTCGATCACTAAGCAGTGGGAAGTACTCCCGTCCAGCAGTTGGTGTTGCAGGAGGGAATATGCTGTTACCTGGTGCCGATTTGGATGTATGGTGATGGGAGATCGAGAGTCCACTTGGGTCTGGTGGTGCATAGCTCTCCTGTGGTGTGCGAGGCGATAGTCGCTCAATGAAATCTATACGCTCCAACGGACTGGCTGGAGCTACGTGACTAATTTTAGCAAAACCGGGTTTTCGAGAGGGGGTAAGAGATGAAATATTAAGCTTTTGCAACAGTGGATTCGAACACTGTGACACGAACGTTTTCCGGAGACGCGAATGACTAACTGACGGGGTGGACATGAATGGGGCCGAGTCAGAACGTAGGAGCGCTGGCGTCGGAGAATCGTTCATGTCCATCGACGCATCGTTGTCTTCGACATCCGTTTGATTTGGACTGGCTGAGAGATTTAACTTACTACTCGTTCTTGCGAGTTTCTTGGAAAGTCCGTATCCGAGCCCCGCCATGGAAGCGGAAAATCGGTTGGTGCTGGGACTTCCATCGCTCTGAAATAGTGACGATCCAGACACATTTGCCTGTTTGGTTGGTGTTGGAGGTAGCTCAAAGTCAGAACATTGGCCATCCATTTTCGCGTCAGGTGATCCATCATGATCATCTCCATCGATGCTGAGGAAACTTCCTCTTCGAGTCAACCCGGTTTGACTATAAATATCGCCAAAAACGCTGCCCCCTTTTCCAAATGAAATTGAGGACCCTGATCCATGGGGGTTGAATGGTGTAGATGGGTTGCCAAAGGAGTGTCTGACATGTCGAGCCTTAGCGATGGCACTGCCTGGGACGTTTTGAGGACATGTGTGGAAGATGTTGGCCTGTTTCTTGCAAGGTGTATCGGGAACACCTTTGCCAGCACGAGAAAGGGGTTCCTCTTCCGGAAAACGATTCACTTTCGATATCAACCCTGTGGTCATAAATGCAGCTGCGAAAGGCTTTGCCGCCTTGTAATTCATTGGTGTTGAAAACTCATCTTGTCCTGAAGACGTCTCTGGGGCGAATGGTCTGGAGGATCCCGCTGGCAAGGATTTCGAGAAGTCCATTTTTGGTCGAGGATGGTCACCAAAGTTCACGGGAACATGTGTTGGAGAATCGTCCGGCAAGCTAGAACTAGAGGATGAGGTTGTCATAGTTCGGGAAAGTGGGTGAGGTTGATGTGTAGGAGCGTTCATCGGATGGATTGATGCGCTGGGGAGATTGCCCTGCGATGAGAAAGGGCTGTCTCTTGGCAAGGGAGCAACGAACTGGTCCAGGGATAGTCGTGGTCGATTCTTGATTGGTGTTGAAATAGTAACCTCCTGGTTCGCATTACCTGAGTTTGCAGCGTTGAGTTGTTGCTGTGCAAGAACTTGTGCGGCATGTCGCCTTCCCCATGATGTCTTCTCGCCGTGCCTTTGCTGCAATGTAGATTTGCGCAGAGACGAGGACCGTCGAGGCATCGAGGTGAATGGAGACGAAGGGTCTGTAACGATAGATGCGGTAGAAAGCTCATATTCCGGAGCTGCATCATCGTGGATGTCAAATTGGGGTGTGGCTGCTGGTTCGTGGTCGAAAACATTAAAGTCGTGGCCAAAACTCGCGGAGCCGTGCAAACTTCTTCTCTTTGCAACAGGACTGCCTAAACTTGCCTGGTCCAAGTTCATGATAGCATCGCTTCTCTTGAGCGGGCTAGATGTCGATGCAAGAAGCCCATCACTACTTCCGTCGCCCAACCTCGAAAGTGCATGGTTGACTGGCGCATTTGAGTCCAAATTCAAGGACATCCTATTGCTTCTCTCGAGACTCTTGCGCTCAGCCGGGCTACTGTTCTCCTGGCCTCCAATAACCCAGGTAGATAAGAGAGGGGGAGCACTGTTTCCACTGTCGAGTGCCTGACTCAGAGCGCGCTTCATAGGACTCTTGGGTGAGGTTCGTCGAGAATTTGGTCGCGGAGGCGCTGTCTTTGCCCGTCCTGACGAGCGCAGCGCGAGTTTTGCACTTGGTGGAAAAGGAACTGCCAACGGTGATGGTGTATGTGGGGGGTTACTAAATCCCGTGAAAATAGCCGGATTGGAGATGGCGCGTTGTGGTGGGGATAGTGGAGATGGCGAAAGTGGTGATTTTGGAGATGAGCTGGGCGATTTTCTCACCAAGTTGAATTTTGAGGGAGATCGTGACAGTGAGCGTCGGAGAGATCTCACTGCAGAAGTTACGTCGACATGGTGAACATGTGTGGGGGAGGGGAGCGTCAAGGTGCCGCCGCCTCCGTTTGAGTACGACATGATATATGAAGCTGCTTGCTGGAATGTAGAGTCTCTCGTTTATGATACAGTATCTGAGACGAAAAACTAAGACAGAGAGGTTTTGCGGAGAATCGGTTCTCTTTCGAGATGACGTCGCAGATTTATTGTCCAGCCGGCATAGATGTAAAATCGCGTGTGGTGGTTTGTTCTCTTCTCCTTGTTTCCTCGTGGTGGCGCGACCAAATTATACACCCAAGTTGTGAGAGAACGGACGCGTAATAGAGCGCGACTGTTGGTGGTGGTTTGGTCCCAATGAAGCGGTATCGTCGTCGGGGGAAGAGGAATGTTGCCGTGGGCGAGGAATCGAGGAATGCTTCGTCGTGTTGAGGAGGTGGGGTAGGATGCTGGACTCGATTAAGAGCAGGAGGAATGAGGATGTTACGTCGTCGAGGTACTCATGACAGTGCGCAGTTGACTCTTTTTGCGGTTTGATGTCAATCGAGTAGGTCGTCGACTGTTTCCTCCACCAGCACAGCCACGGCACCGTCTGAACAACCACGAAAGCGCTAGCGCGAGCGCAACCAGCAACGTGGAACCCTTCCGCAGCGTCGAGATTGAAGTCGTTGGCGTTGGGATGGTCGTCGTGCGCAAAGAATGGCGTGGAGCGCGAAAGGCGATGAAGATGCGGATGCGGGTAGAGGTGGTGGTGTAAGAGAGTGTAGCTGTTTCGATAATCAGGAAATTTTTGCGGGCGCAGGTGGTGATTTTGGGTGAGAATGGCTTGGGTGTTGGGTGCTGGGTGCGGGCGGGTGCAGCGTGCGGAAAAGGGAAAGAGCTGGGCTGGGAGGATGACGGGGGTGGGAGGGCAAGGAAGGCAAGTGGGAGTCGTCAGCGGATTCAGCCGCTGAGTGGTCTGTTGTGTTTACTTTACGCGCTAAAAATGGGGCCTCGCGTAAAATGGACGCGACGTGGAAGGAAGCTGGTTGGGGGGTGCCTGCTCTTGCCTGCTCTTGCCTGCTCTTGCCTGCTCTTGCCTCTTGCAAGTTGCTTGGAAATTGGGGGGCATTACTGCTGGGGGGGCTACTGGGGAGGAGTCACCGTAGGGGTCTCTGGGGGGCTCTATCTCAAATAGCAATACTCCGTACTGTAGTGGACACCTCGAAGTGGAGTTTTTGCCTGGAACCCTACTCTGGCCCGTGCCTGCCAGTCTGCCCCCTTTTGTTTTGGTGCGTGCGCTTGCCTATCGCCGCTGCTCAGTAGTCAGTAGTGCCTTTGCCTTGCCTGGGCAGGCTCAGCAGGCTGGCCTTGCTTGTCTGGTCTTCCGTCCTCGGGTGTTTGTGCGGAGAGAAACTTCAGATGGTTGGACTGTGCTCGTGCTTGTGAGCGTAATGTTTGACTGGGCGAGAGTGATACGGAGTACTTTTACAAAGTCCCCGTAAAATTAATTACTGGGTACTCTCTGTACGCTCCGTACCTTCGTACCTACTGGTAGGTAGCAGTTACTGTGAACCGCTGCAGGTCCGTCGGAGTCTACCTAGGTACTTCCACTTCGCACAAAGTCTACGCCACGCTAAGTCGAAGTGTAAGTGTGATGAGGGAATGTTGAATCACAAGGAAGTCATGCTGGAGGTTTATACCTTGGTGCGTTCGATCGCAGGGAAACTTACGGCTTGAGAGTTTCCTTCCTTTTCCCAAAACAGCTAGCCCGACGTTGGCTCCATTGGCTACGAAAAAAAGAGGTTAGAATTACCGGGACTTGTTTTTATCGGCTCCGGAGCCACGCCTACGACCATGACCACGCTACGCTACCAACAGGCAAACAACTGCAGGAGCCATCGACGTTGTTTACTGGGCCCCATGGCCCCCCAATCAGCCTGCGGCTGCTCGTCACATGGATGCCTTACACAGCCTCAGGCGCTGATCGTGGACCAGAACAGAAAAAACGGTGCGGAATCCTGATGGGACCGCCACAGGGGACCAGATCTACACCCTCCTTCGCTGGGGATGCGCGGGCAGAAAGACAGTTACGGGCAGCAGGTGGAGGCACCGGAGGCACTCGACGATGGCTTGACTCTGCAGACATCCCACATGAGACGAGGAGCCGCCACGTTTCTTTGACCGCCAGCAACACCCCTCGGCCGACCCTCTTCAACCCCTCGATCAGGGAAGAGACCGAAGAATATCAAGACGCCGACGCCCTGGAGCCCCTCTCCTCCTCCTGTCACAGAGAAACACAAGATCTCTCTTACAAAATGCTTCGTATGCTCCACTTTCTTGCGGTGCACTTCGCACAACATCCAGCAGATCCCCCTTCCTGATCCCTTCACACGCAGTCACAGTGCAGGCCAGAACCCAAAAGTCTAATCAAAACTGGTGTTGCTTGTTGTTTACTTTGCTACGGTACGCCATTACGCGTGGGAGCGCAGATCCGAGTGTCAATAAAAACAATCAACATCCACAATGCACAAACCACAATCACAATAATTCGTATTTCTCGGGCCACCAGCACCGCCACCGAACACTTGAGATGAATCCCAGGGTCGAATGATCCACCTGAATATATTTGGGATTACTTTAAATTGCAAAAAAGGGGTTGCCCAAGTGCCGGTGGTGACAGAGCATCATGGCAATCCGTCGTCCAGTCGTCCAGCCTTCCAGAAGAGTTCAAAAATCAGGAAATGCAGGCTTTGCCTCTCGGTTGGCCTCTCCGGATGGGACGGTGGCTGGCAGACTGGGTCACCAAGAGCCAAGTTGGGCCATTTTCAGGAGATGTGCGACAGGGGCAGGCATTATGTCAATACTTCGCAATAAGAAAAGTAAACAAGAGACATTATGCAATGCGATACGACCGGTTTCTGGACCTGGACGATGGGGATGCGATATCGACGATAGACAATCGATTAGCAAGCTCAGAGCTGCCCGTGGCTTCGTTCCAATGCAAATGAAGGGTTCAAGGGCCACGACAGAGGGGAGAGAGGGGAAAGAGTGGAAGACACGCTCGACACGGAGCACCGGGAGGATCAATCAATAGTGGAAATGGGTGCAATCAATCAATCTAATCAATCACCCTCAACTCAAAATTATGAACGCATTTTTCCTGACTTCACATGAAACGCATGCTCTTTCACAATTTTCCGATGGAAAAAAAGATGGTCCGCCAGTCCTGAGATCCACAACCCGTACCAGCTGAGGATAAGGACCGTGATGGTTTCCGTTGATCTTCATCAAGCCTCAAGCCTCAACTCAACTACCGGATGCACAACACGTACATTGCATTAAAACTAATGAAAGTCGGTTACATCAACACGCATAACTCATTACCGGTATTACTTTTTTCGATAGTCTCTTTTTTATCTTCAATGTATTTTACCTTCGTTCGTACCGAGTATGATTGCATCGCATGCATAATTACTTAGCCGCCACCAGGTCAGTCATTATTCTCAACCAGAACTCAAAATCAAATTTTTCATTTCTCCCCAGCGGTTGTAATCCAAGAACCAGAAACCATCAAAACTTTCGCAAATCCCAAACGGGTAATTGCCAGCCGTAGCCGCCCGGGAGGGAGGCTGGCTTTGACTTTGGCTCGGGTCAGGTTGGTTGGGTCTGATGGTCTCACATGAAGCTGGTCCGTTCTGCGAAAAATCACGCAGCAACATGCCAGATCCAGAAAGAGGAGTTGCATCACAGATCATCAAGTGGGCTCGATGTTTACGGAGTACACTTAGACCATGTTCTACTTCTTATCCCCCAACTTTCGTCATCTGACTGTTCGGTCACTCCGTTCACGCGCGCTTTCTTGCGAGAGTGGCTGGAAACTTTGGAAAGGAAATTCTTTTCCCTTTTCCTTTCCTTCATAAGAACCGTGCCATCCCAACTTATCTTCGGAAAAAGGGGGAAGCGAAGGGGGGGTTGATAAAGAAAGATCCCTTCCTTGGCAGGTACCGGTGTGCAAAGCAAGCACTGGTGATCTTCAAGTTCTCCATAGTCCATTGCCAAGGGGTCGTCTCGAAAGACTCGAAGATGCCCTTCTCTTATCCCAGTTCTCCTCCACCCATCTCAGCGCTACGCGACCACCTTGGGGTTCTCCTGCGATCCGAGCTTGGAGAAGGGGACTTGCAAGTTCTGGTTCGGGTGGTTGGGAAGGGAGGGGAGGGGTCAGTTTGATGATCAAGCGGGCGGAGGCGGTACTGTAGCCGACGGGGTTGCGGTTCCCCCTTTTGTTCCCTTTGTTGTGGTGTTTATGTTTTTTTGTTTATGTGATGGGGTTTATGCAATTGTGATGAGGTTTATGAAGAAAATCATGATATGGACATGGGATTCAGAGGGAGGTTTTACTTGATGGGGTGTGTGAACCGGATAGGTTGAGGGGAATGATCGTCTTTTTTGGGAAGAGCGGTGGGGGATTTGGCGATTTTGAGCTCTCTGCCTTTTCTTGGGTTTCACTTTTTTTTACCTTTTTCTTTGAGGATGTGTGCTGGGGTTCGGATGAGAGGCTTTTGGGGGTGTGGAATTTGGGGGAGGGTTCCTTGGCTTTTGGAGTTCTTTGTTTGTTTGGGTGTTTGGGATTGCGACGTAGAAGTGCTTCTTCTATCATGTTCTATGTACTGTATTGATTTCGCGTCAGGATCAGGATCAGGGACAGGGTCTTGGGCTGATTGACTTGCTGACTGACTTACTGGGCTTTGGGTAAGTTTGTGATGATGTGTTGAAGTTTCGGAAGTAGGCTTGATGACTCTAGTTCCCTTCAATAGGTCTTAGACTTTTCTCGGCAAGCTAGGTTGGGTTGAGTTGGGTTGGGTTGAGTTGAGCTGAACTGATTATTAGACAGCTATCTGTAATTAAGTCCTTGTAATGAAATTTTCTTTCTTCAAATGTTGATTTTGATCTTGATTTGGTCTATTCAAACTAGGTAATCAAAGAAGTACTGGTTAACATATGATACCTAGATATAATAAATGAGTAATATGACTCTTCCTTACCCGAGTATTGCAAATTATACTGTAAGTGAGGATAGTAGCTAGCTGAGTGACTGAGTAGATGAGTAGTATTGTTCTTGATCAAATTAAATACTCGTGATGTGAGGAAGAGGTTTGTATGTATTTTACTTGTTGGAGGGGAGAAGAGGATGTTGATTGGAGTGATGTAAGGTGATAAGGCGATTTGTAGGTAGTGTGTTGTAGATTGTAGGAATAGGAATAGAAAATCCTGTCTTTTCTTTTTGGTTTGGATATCTTTAGAAGTCTTTGGTTTATAAATTGTGGGAAGGTTTTTTGAGAGTGGGATTATAGGATTAGGATTTTAGATGAACTAATATCTAGGTCCTAGACTGATAGACTTATTACAAACTTCCACTACGTGCTCTTGAAAAATATCTATAAAACCTCCTTACCTCCCCTCGGTGCTCGCGGATTTAATCTATATCTATATTATTCTATATAAAAAGACAACACCTGTTATTTGGACTAATCTAGTAACTCGATTTGTAGATTGTGAACTGTAGATTGTAGGAATAGGAATAGAAAATCCTGTTTTTGGTTTTGGAAGTCTAACCCTCGCGATGCTTTATTTTACTTATAGGGAGATGGTTAAGAGGGTGTGGGATTGTGGGTTGTATGTTGTATGTTGGAGGTTGAGAGTGTGGGTTGGAGGTTGTGGGTTGGAGGTTGTAGGGAGGAGTTTTTACGCGCTTATGGAGTTTTTGATACTTTATCGTTTTTTATATTTTATTATATAAGTTTATACATATAACATCGAAGCTTATCTTAAGATTATTAGATATCTCGCTTCAAGTTCATCTAACAACAGATCAAGAGGAAACATCAAATTAAAATTAGAGGTACAAGTATGTTTTTTGTTTGGAACTCGGGTTATTTTTAGATAAGAGTATCTCGCCGTATTGAGACGACGTGAAAGAGGCTGATGTGAGAGATGGATCTATGTAAATAGCTTTTGCAATTGTGTTTACAAGGGGAGGCTCTATCTCCTCAGTGATCGCGTCCCGCTAAGATGAATTTTCGTGTTTGGGCTTTGGCGAGCAACGGATTTAAACGCGTCGCTTTTTAGAGAGAGTTGGAAGGATGGTATAGGCCGAGTTTTGATTCTAGGTGCTACTATATATTAATATGAAATCCCTAAGTTTATATCAGTTTCTCTCGAGACTTTTGTAGAAGTTATATATAATACTAGATAGAATATTTTAATTGGGTTTACTAGAAACCACTTTAAAACCTCTAGTTAGGAGGAATATATTCCTCGTATAACACGTACTACGGAGGAGATGTGAATTTTGTGGGGTTAGGATATTGAGGTGCTGGGGTGATGGGGTGTTAGTAGTGAATGTGTGGTAGTGTGCTTTCTGGGTCTGCTTTACTGCATCTGCGTTACGGGCTAGAGCAGTGGTTCGGCTATTACTACTTGGGATCTGGAGAATTGTGGATTATAGGATGGAAGAGTTTTATAACGGTGTCACGGTATATAACTGCGTTTGTTTGTTTTGTGTGGATGGTGTTGATGTCTTGTTATTATTGCGATATATTCGCTTTAGTTATATTATAAGATATTGTAGATCTATTTGTTCGATTACCATGAGTACTCGAATGCTTCTACTTCTTTGATCAGATCACTATTTGTTGGTTTGACTTATTCAGTCAAGTGGGTGATGCAAAAGACTTATATTACTATGGTAATAACTAAGTCCTGTGTTGCATTGTCCTAGTAAGTGTAGCTAGCTAAGTGCCTACGTACTTATAGGTGCCATATTACGCTAGAGGAGCACGCTAGTTCCGAAGGAGCAGCTACGCTGGGAGCTAGCTACTAATCATTCACTATTATAAAGCGACACTATTAATTGTTATATTACTTTTACACTTGTTTATTTCCTTTACTTGATATTATTAGATGTTTCTATACCGATACTTATGTTTACTGCTAGTGCTATTGTGAATTTGTGATTTGGAGGCATGTTCTGGAAGATGTGACTGAGGCAAAAATTTGCGATTACTCCGAGTTTCTAGGTGGATAAGTAAATAAGTAAAGTATTATGGATGGAAATAAACATATAAGGTGAGGTTTTACAGAGAGACGAGGAGTAATGAGTCGAATACGTGGTGTATGGTATCGTTTGTATGATTCATATGTTATTGGGCTTTCATTCAGGAAGAGCTTCGCTTAGCTAGGCTAGGTCTTATTCCGCAGTTGGGAGGGGATGAGGGGGGAGGTGTATTCAGTACCTAGTTGGTAGCACATGTAAACGAGCTGTGATGTCCGAATTCACTAACCGATCATTTTGTTGTAGTCAGAGGTCGGCTTATTTGGCGGCACAATCCAATGTTCGTGGTACCGTCGTGGGCAAATGGTTGGGACTACCCAATATAAATAGGGGGAGTGGGGTGATGTGAATATTCACCACCATACACCCACTACCGGATACGCAGACTTAGTAGAGCAGTCTCGCACCATTCAGCGTTCTGGCTAGTTAATCATTCCCTACGTGTCCCCGTGATTGAGCCTCGAGACAAAATGTTTATTTAATCAAGTCTCAAAATACAGATTCCGAGAGACTTTCAACCATTCTTGGAAACAACATCACATCGCCATCGACACAACTACCACGCTCTACTTTTCAATTCAGAATACACCTGTTTAGCAAACGCCAACCTCACCTACACATCAAGACTTAGGTCAAGGTTATGGGAAACCACAATTGCAAATACCACAATCAACATGACGGGCCCAGTACCATCGAATCAGAACACTACAGCCAAAATGACAGACGGTAAAGAGTCTGACAAGAAAAATAAGGGCACCGCAATCAACAACACGGGCGCCGAAAACCCTGGAATGCATGGCACAAAGGCTCCCCAAGACCCAAGGACTTCGCATGATCATAGTCATCGTTTTCGAAAATTTTGTCATCGTCACTGCATCCTCCCAGGGCATCATCACGAAGGATCAGATAAAGCGGTCACGATTTCCACTATCAACGTAACAGACACGACACTACCGGGAAAGGAGAACACGAATGCTAGCATTGCTACGAGTAGTACGAGTAAAGGCTCGGAAAATGCGGAAAAGCTTAGCCCAAAGGTCATCCCAAAGGTCCGTCCAAGGGTCAATTCAAAGGCCTCCACAAAGACTGCTAAGAGAAAACCGTCGGCGAATCCTGTTTATTATGTTGAAGAGGCCGATGAAGATTGTTGTTGTGATTGTGATGAAGATTTTTATTATGATGATGCGGAAGATTATTATTATGATGTTGATGAATGCGATGAATGCGACTCGGACTGATTCGACGAATGTTCAGAGTGAGAGGAAGCTTGCGATTGTGGAGAAGCATCTTCAGATGTTTGCGGTGGAGATGAATTGTACGGCTTGTGGAGTAGGGCCAGTTTTGTCTGGCGGAAATAAGGCATGTAGAAAGACGTAGTTACAGATAGACACACCGATTAATAGACTCCCCTTTTACATACACTTCAAAATGTTCGGACGCTCATATGACATGGTAGTATTGTTAGCTTGTCTTTTGCTGGCAACAATATCGAAATAGCGTTTCTTCTTCGTACTGTGCAAAAATCCGAACAGAGATAAATCGTATTTGACAGCTGGTATAAAACCATCTACCCAATGTCCATACTAATACAGTAATAATACTTGGTTATATTTCTTGTTAGGAAGATCTTATGACACCTATCGTTTCTTAGCGACAGGTAAAACACTCTGAGGTGTTACGAAGGTAGGTCTGGATAAAAGGGCGGTGTCATATTTATTTATTTATTTATTTATTACTATTTAACGTCAGGCGGAATCTAACTCGCGTGGGCTAGGTCCTAAAAGTCCCATTGTTGGGCAAATGACGCTAGGGGGGTGCCCTAGGCTACAGGGGGTGTAAATGAAAGTGCGCTAATTTACAAGAGATAGTTTAAAGAGAAGCCCCACTTCCGGAACAGCTCTCATTCTGAGTTAGTTTAAGAGCCAGAGTAAAAATAAGTTAACAGT